GCCTTATTGAAGGAGCAGGAACAAACTATCCTGATGTGCAAAAAGAATAGCAAATATGGCAGGCGACCAGCTTGGCTTAACAGAGAAATCTTCAGTGAGCTTAAACACAAAAAGGAAGCTTCCAAGAAGTGGAAGCTTGGACAGATGAGTAGGGAGGCATATAAAAATATTGCTCGAGCATGCAGGGGTGTAATCAGGAAGGCCAAAGCACAACTGGAGCTGTGGCTAGCAAGGCATGTGAAGGGTAATAAAAAGGGTTTCTACAGGTACGTTAGCAACAAAAAGAAGGTCAGGGAAAATGTGGGACCCTCACTGAATGGGGGAGGGAACCTAGTGACAGATGATGTGGAAAAAGCTGAAGTACTCAATGCTTTTTTCCTCGGTCTTCACAGAGAAGGTCAGGTCCCAGACTGCTGCACTGGGCAGCACAGTATGGGGAGGAGGTGAGCAGCTCTCAGCGGTGAAAGAACAGGTTAAGGACTATTTAGAAAAGCTGGACATACACAAGTCCAAGAGGCCAGATGCAATGCATCCGAGGGTGCTGAGGCAGTTGGCTAATGTGATTGCAGAGCCATTATCTTTGAAAACTTGTGGTGATCGGGGGAGGTCCCAGACTACTGGAAAAAGGCAAATATAGTGCCCATCTTTTAAAAAGGGAAGAAGGAGAATCTGGGGAACTACAGACCAGTCAGCATCACCTCAGTCCCTGGAAAAATCATGGAGCAGGTCCTAAAGGAATCCATTTTGAAGCACTTGGAGGACAGGAAGGTGATTAGAAACAGTCAACATGGATTCATCTGATTGCTTTCTATGATGAGATGACTGGTTCTGTGGATATGGGGAAAGTGGTGGACGTGATATACCTTGACTTTAGCAGAGCTTTTGATAAGGTCTCCCACAGTATTTTTGCCAGCAAGTTAAAGTATGGATTGGATGAATGGACTATAAGGTGGATAGAAAGCTGGCTAGATTGTCAGGCTCAACAGGTAGTGATCAATGGCTCGATGTCTAGTTGGCATCTGGTATCAAGTGGAGTGCCCCAGGGGTCGGTCCTGGGGCCGGTTTTGTTCAACATCTTTATCAGTGATCTGGATGATGGGATTAATTAAACCCTCAGCAAGTTCATGGATGACACTAAACTGGGGGGAGTGGTAGATATGCTGGAGGGTAGGGATAGGGTGCAGAGTGACCTAGACAAATTGGAGGATCGGGCCAAAAGAAATCTGATGAGGTTCAACAAGGACAAGTGAAGAGTCCTGCACTTAGGACGGAAAAATTCCATGCACTGCTACAGGCTGGGGACCGACTGGCTAAGCGGCAGTTCTGCAGAAAAGGACCTGGGGATTACAGTGGATGAGAAACTGGATATGAGTCAACAGTGTGCCCTGGTTGCCAAGAAGGCTAATGGCATATTGGGCTGTATTAGTAGGAGCATTGCCAGCAGATCGAGGGAAGTGATTATTCCCCTCTATTTGGCACAGGTGAGGCCTCATCTGGAGTACTGCGTCCAGTTTTGGGCCCCCACTACAGAAAGGCTGTGAACAAATTGGAGAGAGTCCAGCAGAGGGCAATGAAAATGATTAGGGGGCTGGGGCACATGACTTATGAGGAGAGGCTGAGGGAACTGGGCTTATTTAGTCTGCAGAAGAGAAGAGTGAGGGGGGATTTGATAGCAGTCTTCATCTTCCTGAATGGGAGAGGCTTCCAAAGAGGATGGAGCTAGGCTGTTCTCAGTGGTTGCAGATGACAGAACAAGGAGCAATGGTCTCAAGTTGCAGTGGGGGAGGTCTAGGTTGGATATTAGGAAAAACTATTTCACTAGGTGGGTGGTGAAACACTGGAATGTGTTACCTAGGGAGGTGGTGGAATCCTTAGAGGTTGTTGAGGCCTGGCTTGACAAAGCCCTGGCTGGGATGATTTAGTTGGGGTTGGTCCTGCTTTGCACAGGGGTTTGGACTAGATGACCTCCTGAAGTCTCTTCCAACCCTAATCTTCTATGATTTTATGAATGGGATAAAAGCCAGACTTCACACTCAATAATAGGCAGCAAGAAGTCCATCCTGAAATGCCTTAGGTACCAGCCACAAAGTCCAAAATAAATAAAATACCCCAGTAGTGCAGCAGGGGTATACAGTAAGTTATTCATTTCTGGGGAGCTGTACCAATCCTGTCCTCAATCAGAAGTGAAAATGAATTTGGGCATCTGTCTACCTCACCTTCCACACTGGCAATCTTTGCTCATAGGAAGCCTAGACTACAATTGGGGTGCTGCAAGTCAGAACTAAAGTGTACTGAAGGTTGAAAGAGTAACATTTAAAGAAGCCATGCCCACATTATGTCTTTTTTTTTACCAATGTTATCAATCCCTGTTGTTAGTGTCACATTTTATTCATATGTATACAGATTTATTAAATAACAACAGCACTCGTGAAGGACCAGGTCAAACACTGAGCCATAGGTATATCAGATGCGCAAAAAAATGCACCTGCTCCTTGTTTGCTGACAAATCCCTGCATTCAAAGTGTAAACCGAGTGCTCACACAACACCAAAGGCACACACAGATCCTGCTTTGTACACACCAATGCAGAGTTCTGCACACCTAACAGGCATGTACGTTTCAGCTTGCGCACTTGGCTTAAAACTTTGCCATTATTATAAACTTACGGGGGAGAGAGGTACTTTTGAGATAAATCTGTGATTCAATTTCCCAGCAGTAGCATGGGGAGAAAATTTGCAGAGATAAGAGACTGCCATGGATGAGAGATGATCCTGGCTCAAATAGGTGTTTCATTAGCGTAAAATTATTTGATATCACATCACTAAATAGATTGTAATTTATGAGACCCGCTGGCAAAGTAAGGTAAAAAATCAGCTCTTTAAAGGACAAATGTATATGTAGGTGACACAGGTACTAAACTATACAATATATAAAAACACAACATATTGTGGAAGAGGCATAAAACAGAGGTCTAGCCCATTTGTGATGAAAGATCCTGTAGTGCTTTTTTCAAAATAAAATTGTTAGTCTTCTGTTCAGCCAAATTCCAATTCAGGACAATATATTCTGTCAATCTGAAATTACCCTTAGTAGTTTCAACAGGATATGGTCACCCTCCCTAACTTTGTAGTAGTGGTGGTGGTGGCTGTGGCTGCATTTTGGCAGTGGGTGAAGCGTTTCCTACGTGCTGTGTACTGAAAGCCAAGTTCTATTCTCTCATATCCGATCAAGCAAATCTAAATGACTTCAGAGCAGTTGTGCCCCTTCAATCAAGGGCAGGATTCTGCATGTGATTTGTGAACCTGCAGAAAACCTAGTGGTATCTCTTGGAGTGAAATGGGTTATATAAATCTACAGGATATCGTTATCATTACATATACACAGGGCTGGCACTTTCTGGGGAGAGGCCTATCTCATGGAGCTGGAGTTGCATTAATGTATTTTATGCTAATAGGTTATTTTGAGAATTACCAACCCTGGTGCGAAGAGTCACGTGCACTCTAGAAACTGTTTATTACTGTTCCTGGGGGCAAGGGGTTACTTGAGTAAATCCCCTTTGGACCTATAAGAAAATGGACCCCATTGTTTCAATATTAAGCAAAGCCCATCAATTAATGGTCAACCTAGCATGCAGGATAGTGGAGATGCTAGTTATTGGGCCCTATCTTCTCTCTGCTGTCCTATAGTAACTAGAAACATTCACCCTTATGACCAGTTTCAGAGTAGCAGCTGCATTAGTCTGTATCTGCAAAAAGAACAGGAGTTTATGTTCAAATAAATTTGCTAGTTTCTAAGGTGCCACAAGTCCTCCTGTTCTGTTCACCCTTATGAGTCTATAATGTCGTCAGACCAAAACAGAGCTACTTGGCTTGCCCAGAAAGGTAATTCCCATACTCTTTTTTATAACAATATAAGCCAGCACAAGTGCGACATGCCCAATGGACTCTAACTCTCAGTATTTAAAAATAAACTGCTTTCATTAAGTTGCACATTTCTCACAGCTGCTGCTATTTATGAATCATTTTAAAGAAGCTGTAACATATCACCTTATGGCCACCCCACAAAGTTTATTTCACTCATTACCATTACAGCTTGCCAGAACTGAATTTCATTGATTGATTGTGCTGGTTCCTTCTCTTCCTCATTCCTACCCCTCACCATATAGGTACTGCATCGTTCTCTTTCATATCCTCCTTGGTCTCTTGTTATCTTTCTTTCTACCATCCTTTTCTCTGATGTTCTCTAATTCTCACTACCTCTTGGGGTTTTTTGCCCTCTTTTTTAATAACTAGCTTCTTACCTCTCACTTCATATACAGTAGGAACAGTAGATCAGCCATGACATATTCTGAGCCAGAGGTTCTAGCACAATGGAAAAGCCAGTAATTCTTTAAGGATATCTCTTGCTTTGAGTTTACTGTTCCACATGCAGCCCGTGAATTTGTACTTTAATTTGATCAATTGCTACAAAGCATTTGGGACTGCAACGGAGTAGAAATCAAAAGAAAAAGCTTACTTTGCTTATGCAGTCTTGGCTTGCATTACTTTAGTTATACTCCACCAATGGTAACAGGAGAAGGGAGCTCTGATTCTTTCACTGTTTCACCTGTTCAGTCTCTGCTATACACGCTTTTTTGGGGAAAGGGTAGCCTTGGACTCTAAATTATAATCCACACTCGCAAAGGAATGGACCCAATGGTCTTGTAAATGGTCTCCATCTCTTCTTACAATGCTATAATCCTGTTATATGGACCTAGGAAGCAGATAGCCCCCAATAATCACTGTCACTACAGGAGAAGTGGGCTTGGAGCCACTACAGAAGGTAAAGGAATATGGTTATAATCCTAGCCACAGAAACACAAGAAGGGGAAAATGATTACAGTTAATTCAACTAACAAAAAAAGCCTCTTAAAATGATAATTCTCTACTCCTGAGCCTCCATCCTGACTTGAGAGTTGCTGCAACTTCTCTATTTACTTATGTGAACAAATGTTCCTCTCACCTCATACTCCTCTTTAAATCCATAGCCCTGTCCTCGTTTCATCTGGGTGATATGCTGTAGCAAGTCGGCCACTCGGATGGCTGGCTGGAACTGCCCCCTGGGATAGGACATTTCCACTGGCTCACAGCTCCTGTACGGATGGGTCTGGATGGTCAGAGTTGGCTGGGTCATCTCCACATGGCTGCTCTCTGTTTTAAAGACAGGGAGGCAAAACAAGCTTTTACCTAGTCATTATTTCCGGTCTCATTCCTGTGCTGTTTGTTCCCCCCGACCCCACATAGATCAGCACAGGTGAAATAAAGAACAGAAGCAAGTGGAAAACCACGCATGCCCAAAGCCATCCAGAAAGACTAAGACACACTCAAATATTTGTAGTATAATCAGTCAGTGAGGCAATCAGAAGGAGACAGGAACAGAGGTGGATAGCCAAACAGGCACAAGAGTGACAGAAGTAAATGGCATATCTCAAGAAATAATCCCTCTTACAAAATCATGAAATCTGCATGGCAACTCCACTGGAATGATATACTTCTGTTCACAAAGCATGACTGCCCTGCACATAGGAAAGAACAAGGTTTTCAAAAGTGACTAGTGATTTTTGGGTTCTCAATCTTAGATAGCTTAAAGAGGCCTGATTTTCAGAGACTGAGTACTCAGCATCTCAAGTGGGGCACCCAGAAATTTGGGAACCCCAAATTGTTAGTCACTTATGATGTAAAGTTTAGGCCTAACATATATATTTCAGTTTAAGAAATGTAATGTCATCTGAAGGAACAACAAAACTGCACAGAAATATGGGTACCTTGCACTTATATTTCAGAAAACTAAGTATCAGAAAAAATGTACCTTTTCAAAAGAAATGGATTGAGAAAACATCTCCAGCACTAGGCGAATGAAGACTGTAGCTTCATATATTCAGGCAGAACCCTAACTGTATGGCACAATACTCCTAATAGACAATACAACAGAAAGCACTTCTATCAACACATGGTCACCAACCAGAATTCTTCTATTTAACCACGGAAGCTCTGCTTAGATGCAACATTTAGTTGCTAGGTCTTGTATCTTTCCAAATGAGCCAACTGAATTCAGGCATTTGCTCAAGTGAGTCTTTGTCTTGGCACTTCGTTAGGGATCTCCTCGGGCTCTTCAATAAAGCAACATGCATGCGACACACAAAAATAAATATGAATTTGGCTTTAGCAAAACCACCAACACATATAACATTAATAAATGTGGAATTTAAGGAAGAGTAACATCTAAGCATTTGTATAATAATTCTAATACTGTTACTAATTACAATGTGAGAACTCTGAACAGAGGGAATTTCAAGGCTTATTAATTCTCCTAGTTGGCTTTGTTTCCTCAATGCAGCTTTCCTTACCTATTCCCTATTAACCTCCCATAATGGAGAGGAGACTATTTTTATGTCAGGCCATTTCCAACAGACATACTATGCTTAATTTTTCATTATGAGGTTTAATACAAACCCAATTTCACAACTGGCTTCTCTGAGGAACCAACAAGTAATGCTACATTTTTATCAGCCCCAATTAGAAAACATTATGATGTCCCTCTTTGAGAGGCAGTCTTAAAACTAATGTGCAGTTCTATTAATAATTTTTACCCACTTCTCTTTTAAATCACCTCCTCCACACTGGGCCACCAATGTGCTGAAATCTTAAACTAGAGGTTTCTGTGATGTGGACAACTACATTACAAGGTTTTTATGTGTTTGTCCCAACTGAAATGCATTTCCTAAGGGCTTGTCTAGCTGGAGAGTTAGTGGGCAACAAGTAGGGCTGTAAATCTACAGCATACCAGAGCACCATGCACTAACTAGCCATGGGGATCCTGCTACTGGACACAGAAAGTTCCCTAGTGCACTTCAATATACTCCTAGCATCAGGCAATGATGAGCTTTCCATGCTCACTCAGAACAAGCTGTGGGAACTAACTGAGGTAACGACGGACTAACTTGGATTTTCTGTGCCTGCAGTACTTTGAGTGGATTCCATGTCCACCACTGGGAGGAGAAGCCGACCTGGTTATTTGTGTGAACTCAGAATGGTCCATGGCTACATCCACAGACATTTTGTTTTGTACCAAGGGGGAAAAAAAAGAACTTGAATCTTCTTCACGTACATGAATTGCTGTGTATGAGGTGAGCCGAATGTTCAGATGTTCTGCTAATAATGCCTTATGAAACATATTGTTCCCACTCTGTCTCATCACCCCTTGAATCTGAGCCTAAGCACAGTTAATGAAGCACTCAAGCAAGGCACTACACCATCTCTCAAGATGCGCTGTTTGCAGCAATTTTATGAACAATTCAATATGCCCTGGAATGGAGGAGAGGTAGCAGCAAACTCTCATCTCTAACGAGGGCAATCAACGAAAAGGGTCTTTGAAGCGCACTATAGACAGGCTTTCCTTTTCCTGCAGGTTGCAGAAATAAAACGTATTGCACTGGGAGTAACATAGTATAACTTCCCTATGTGAGCTGGAGTATCAGTGAGTTCCAGCTCCATGTGGTTCAAACCAAAGTTATTGCAACAGGATATTATGTGATGAAAATCCCTCTACCAATGAAACACAAGATAAAAGTATCTTCCAGTGTCTGATGAGTAATCCCAAAGGCAGGAAATAATTGCCTGATTGCTACTAAAACACTTACTGTAGCATACTTTTGTTGCTATATAACTAAACAAATAAAATACATAAATAATTGTCATCCTCATGACAACTGGTAAATTCTTTGGCAAATGTCACGTACGTTATAGGAAGCACCTGAAAAATTAGCTCCCCAGTCCTACAAGCTGCTCACCATGAGCAAATCCCTGGACAAGTATTCCAGTAGGGCTACAGGCAGAAGCCCTGTCCACCCAGAACAGTTTATACCATAGAAACCTCAGATTCCTCTTTTTTTTAATGTTATCTTGGTTCACAAACTTAGTTTTGTTACTGTGAGATAACACACACAGGAAGAACATACACACTGATGGTGTCTGCAGACAAGAAAACCTAACCAAGCTTCAAATGACTCCAGCCCTACTGCACTGATGTGTGTCCTGAATACACAGAGAAGTTTGTTTAGAATCTTTTCCTTTAATATCCACCAGCTCTTTCTGCTTCTGAAATGACAGGCTACATAAATGTAATCATCTCTGTTTATATTTTTTCTCTTAATGTTGGCAAGTGTGTAACACGATAAGACTTCCTTTGCACAAAATAAATTATATTTTGAGTGGTGTTTGTGATGGATTTAATTACACACATATCCAATCTCTGTCTACTAGAGTTAGGGTTGTCAATTACTTGACATCTCTTAAGGACGGGTGTGACATGGCTAATATCTCTCTCCATTATGCTAGTGATACAGTGGCACTTAGTAAAATTAGCTCACTTTTTTATGTGCATAGGGTTTATTATATGAAAAATACCCAACTCAAAGGTGATATGCTATATGCATGGTGCTATGACAAACATAAGTAAAAATTATCATTTGACTGATGATATTGATTTAGCCAAACTGGGCACGTTAATTAGAGACAAGCCAACTGGAAGCATGGTTTGATTTCCTAGCCATGTTAGAGGCAGTGTGGAGAGTGCATCCTTCATTCTTCTTTCTTTTGTGAGAAAGACAATAAGCAGCAGCTCATGTGTTAGCCATGCTGGCTCATGACGGGTAAAAAACAAGGCTGGAGAAAATCAATTCCCCTTAGTCTTAAAAACACCACTGCCACATTCTGGCAAACATTTAATACTGCATATACTAACCTTGACAGAAGTTTGTGTGTATTTCCTTTCCCAGCTTCACTAACAAATGGGATACATGCTTAAATAAGGAGGGAGAATGTACTGCTACAGTGGACTTGGACCTGGGACTCTTCAGTTCACGCCCCAGCTCTGCCACTGATTAACTGCATGGCCCTGACCAAGTCAGTCTTTCTGTGCCTCATGTGTAAAACGAGGCTAAACACACCTAGCTTAGGGTGTTAAGCAGTTTAATTAATTAGTTCAGCTAGTTAGTAGATTGCACTGAGAACCTCAGAATACCATACACACCTGCATCTCCCCATGCCCAACTGTCTGATATTTCCAAGGACAACTTTGCCCCCGCCTTGAAATGCCTCATCAGCCATGGAAGACTGAAGCAGGAAATCTTCTGCATTGACTGCATGCGGCCATCGAGTCAGTCAGTCTCCCAGGAATGTCATTAGAGAGATTCATCAAACAACAACCTTCATCTGCCTAATTCAGGTTATTTCACAGCTGCTTATTCCATGGCAAGTGACATTGAGCAAATTGGGCAGCTGCAGAGGCAGCACCCACCATTGCCTTGGGGCTGGCATGCCCTGGGAGGCCACAAAGAGTATGTGAGCCACCAATTTTTAAACCTCTAACTGCTTCATATTAAGAAGTCAATGACGATGCAGCTCACTAATGAAACAATATCATAATCTTCACCTTTAAAATGCTCAGAGATATACTGTAGATAAACCCAGGGCAGATGCACTGCATGTGTGTAATTGCACAGCACCAACTAAAAAATGGATAAATCTAAGGCAAATTTCTCTAGGTGTGTAAATACAGGACGGATTGTGTGTGGTTTCTGCATAAGTGCACAGAAGAAAGGAAGGGTGCAAGGAACCTTCCACTGTCTTGTTCCTCCTGTGCAGGGCTGAGACAGAGTTAAAGTTCCTGTGTTCCCCTGAGGGCTGCGCTTGCTTCGGGCTAGCGCCCTCTTGGGTGGGTGCAGTGTGGACAAGAGTGGGGGGAATTGGAGCCATGGCCAATGTTCATTCTACATAGTAGGAATGGCAGCTAGCTAGGTGCAACGGGAACAACATGCTGCACCCTTTGAAGAGTCCCCTCCACTTCCATCCACTGCGGAAGGCTGGAAGATAGCAGCAATGCATAATGCCTCTCAAAATAGTCCCTGAAGCAATACAGTTCTAAACCAGCCTTGATCAGGGCTGCACCTTCATGGTCCAAGCTGGGCCACAACGAAACTGCCAGGACGCAGACCTCTCCCACCTCTCTTGCTTTCAACTAAGTATTAATTTTCCCAGCACAGACACTTGCAAGCATAGTGTCTGAATCCAGGGATGTTTCATACCAGAAAGTTAAGCAGCTAAAGAAATGCATTACAAAAGTATTAATCAAGCAAAGGGTGGGATGGAAG